ATTGGCGGGTTTTCTTCCTTGGACAAGAGCTTCCTGACCAAAACTACAGCCTCATGCTGCGTCTCGCGGTCGCCGTCGTTGAAAATCGCCTGCACTAGTTGCGGCAACAAGGTCCGCAGATCTTCAGAATTCGAGAATTTCGCTCCCACACCGGTTTCACTGTTTGTTTGTTTCTTGTGTTTGTTTAGGAACATCTTCATGTTACTCTTGACTAGAAAGAAGTTTGTTTGTTGGAGGAAAATTTGGTTGTGGGTTCCAAGGGAGTGGTTGTTGCCTTGTTCAATGTCCTACGAAGATCCTCGCTAGAAACATCATGTTACCTAGAAACATCATGCTACCTTGGTTGGCAGAAAAAAAGTTTGACGGTGATTCATTTCTCCTATTTAGTATGTGCTTGTCCAGTTCAATTGTCTCCGAAAAGCTCACGATCAGGAAATGAATTCCAAAAAAAGGGCATATAACTGAAAATTCTTGGATAATCCAAATTCAAATTCTTGAAAATTTTGCTCAAGACTCATGAATCAATCCAAATGTCTTCTGAAAACAACTGAAAGATGCTCTAGACGTCTTCTAGTACCAAGAAATCAGCACAATTCTATACTTCTAGATCAAACAGGAACAAATCTCAGAAAGCTCAAATACCCTGTTGGCTGTACTGCTGTTGTCGTACTATCTGGTGCTGATGCTCCTTCTGCCCCCTTTAGATTGCGTGACCTCTTTTGTGCCAGCAGCATCGCCTTCTCCGCCTTTCTGATTTGGACTTCATCGTCGATTCTAGACCGTCGTGCCTCGTCCAAGTCCAGGCCCTGCTTGAACTGCTGTTTTCGAGAGGCAAACCTCCCAGAAGGCGATCCATCATGGTTGTCGCCCATCTTGTCTGAGGATGATGGTAGTCGGCTGTTCGTCTGGTCACGCACAGGCTTCACGATACTCCAACGACTACTTCCCTTAGAAACCAGGTAACGTTGGTAAAAAAGTCAATGAGCTTTGAGGCGCTCGTGATATTGTCTTTGCTGTGCCTTCTTGCTGATATCACGTCCGCGTCTACCAGGTAGTACGACCACAAACAGTCTGGAAGTCGTCTACTTCTTTGTCGTAAGCCTGTGCCGTTTTACGCCTTGAACAGCGTCGTGAATATACCTCGCGTTGTACCTCTAGCTTGACTCCAAAGGGTCTCCAGGCGTCTTGCTGTTTGCGTACTTCTTCTCCTGCACAGCACGGTCACTCGCTAAGCATCTGTCGCTAAAATGTAACTCGGCAAGACAATCAGCAAATTCCTCAAGGACAAACTGTGGCAGCTTTTCTTTGTCGATGTCGCTTGTTTTGCGTTACCACTGTACAGCTTCGGTGGTCACAAAGCCAACTCAAGAATGCAGCGGTCGGTACCGCCAAGGACGACGAAACATAGTTCTCTTAGTAACACACTTCTTACAAAACTGAGACTCAAGCAAGAGATCTTCTATGAATCTACTTCGCAACTATGCAGAATGAAGAGTCTAGAATACCAGGAAAGCGTAGCTTTGTATGTCCTGGAAGAATCACCTGGAAAAGAAGAGTCACGTTGTGGAAGCTGTATCACATAGCATACGATGTTAAATCAAGCGCAGCTGATTGATTGATTGATTGATGTGCCTCGCCAGCGGTCTGATTAATTATGTATGATCAGTGCTTTTTATTTGAGAAATTTTTGTCATAATGAACAGACTGTACAAGATGATCCAAAATGGGAGGATTGAAGCGAGGAACATGGGTGATCTTTTTGAAGAATGCTGGATCAATCATTCACGAGAGGTGGTTCAGGAAGGACTCTCTGTAGCAGCTGAAAATTGCAGGATCACATCTTCTTTCGCGTTTCTTGAATTCTTGGTTTCCTCGTCATGGATTATCAGATCTTCGAGCCTGGGGAGCTTAGATGAGCATTTTTTCAAGGGCACATACAATCTTGATGTCACTTGTGATGATATTTCACTGATGCGTCAGGCTCTATCAGAAGAGAGAACACAACACCAGTGACTACCATCCCTTCGCGCCTGAAGAACGTCTCTCTGCCTTCCGTTTTCGCACGTCTAGCTAGTGCGGATCTCAGGACATAAACGAATTCAAACTATAATCCATTCATGTGCTTAGCACAAAAATTGCCTTTTTTTTATGTCATCTACGATTTCATCCCGCAATGAATACGAACATTCAATTAATACCCTACGGGAAGCCTGAAATTGCGTTGACTCGCCAAAACTTTCAGATCTTGCTCCTTTTCCTTGCCACTGCAAGACAAAGAGAATCTAAGTTCGTAGACTCGCCAATCCAAGTTCGTAGATCCGAGATTACCACATTAGAACTCGAATTAGAAGATTTCTGGCTCGATTTCAGAGGCCATGGCCCCAGAAGATCTGCTCATAAATCTTTAACCTTACCCGCCCCACACGGCACGAGGATTTTTGGGGGAGGTTTTTGGTAGTTACCAGGGCCACCGCTCGAGAAACTTGGATCTCCTGAACGCACACGAATATGCAGGTATCTAGTTGTACCACATGCCAGGTTCGTGCATTCGTGGATTTTACTTGTCGAAAGTGTAAGTAAGAGTCAAAATAGCAGAGCAATAGAACGCAGGACAAAGGAAGAAGTGTCTTCCTTGGGCTAGCGGAACTAGTGCGAAGATATCGATCTTTTTTATATAAGTTGCCCCCCTTAAACAAGAAGCCCAACATCCATATCATCCATATCAACAGTATCAACATCTTCAACGCAACAGTTCCAACATCAGAGAAATCCGTAAAACTCAGAAGAGATTCAGGGAAGTCGTAGGACAATTCCGAACCGACTAACATCATCATAGTTGTACCACATGCCAGGTTCGGGCAGATCTAAGGAGAGAACAACAACAAACAAAACGGCTATTCCGACATTTCACAAACAAAGAAGACAAGGATGAGAGTAGGGTAGCTCTATAGCAGAAGACACGAGGTTGCAGCAGACACAAGGTTCTAAGTTGTTGAACCTTAGATAGTCAAGAATCTTATTAAGTTATGAGTAGGGGTTAGATCAGGCAATACGTCATGGGGATGCACTTCAGGTCTAACCCTCCCTGGTCAAGTTTGAAGCAAACCTACTTACACAGAGCAACGTAGACACACGCCTCATGGTAAGCATTTGACATCGCAGTGCGGATTAAAATAATCACAGATAGCCTTGTCTGAGGCAATACATGGGTGTCCTAAATGAAGGTCCAAAGCGACCTAGACAATACAATTCATCATCATCATGGTGCCCCATTTAGTACTAATAGCCTAATGGCGGGACAAAACAGCTCCCGCAGTGTGTCGACAATACAATTCTGCGAATACAAAGTTTGCAAATCTTGCAAGGAAAGAAGATCCTGAAACGGAAGACACGGTTGTACACGAAAGTGAGTTGCCATCGTGTTGAGAGAACAAATTCAATATATTCCCGAACGATGCACAAAAACATGAAAAAAGACCACAACTTTTCTTTTCTCGACAAAACGTCAACATGATCCTACGCGACAGTTATACTTTACTTCTATGGACCAGTGGGAACAGCTCTATAAACAAATGTACGATAAGACGAAAATACTACACACCATCGACATCTAATGCTTCACAGAAACTAGTCACTATATTTGTCCACACACAGACACACGAGGCTGGCTCGTATCGCGTGTACTCACACGAACGGCTACTGTTACTGCCACACAAATGATCATTGTCAGTGCCGTAAGTGGAGCATCATGCGACGCCATGTTGCCCGTTGCCCCAAAATTGCAAATTTCATTCTCACGATGTCAGTTACGACAGGGTCTTGCCTCTTGTTCGAGATACAACAGTTCTCGTTTTTCCTGCATGATATTGCAGCCCACAGCACTTCCTCCTGCATGGTAGTGCATGGTAGTACCCGAAGCAGGCACTTTCTTGTAGTTGTTGTTATTTCATGATTTTGTACTGGCTCCACCATCTCCATTACGTGCACGAATCGCTCTCCACCTCGTCCTCTCGACTCCACCCTCTTGACAGAAGTTGTTGCAAGTCGTGTAACTTGATTGATTGATTGATGTACCCATTCGCAGGGTATAGCTTCTTTAATTATGAGTGCATGTACTTTTCTAATGCACCTCTTGCTAACGTCGTCATCTGTTGTTACTCGCACAGCAACCAGTTGCACTTTTCTGATTCTCCTCCTCCAGCTGACACCGTCATCCGCTATAAAGTGTCAATATCATGTTGTCCTCTTAGTACTAGTTCTCTGATGGCGGAAGTCATTTGCCTCCCACTGGGCCAGCACTGTTTTTGGTTACATCACGGCCGCCGCCAACAAGATACCAAGTCGAGAAAAGACCCGTTGCTCCAGTCACGAAGGCACCGTGAGGATTGTGTTTCTTGGCACCTCCGTGGCCAGTTGCACTGTTCGTAGTTGAGCTTTTAGAGTCAGAAACTAGCAGTCGTTGCATGGAACTACATCCATTCTGAAGATTAATTATAGACACTTTTGTTAGAAGGTCAGTTTTTTGTCTTTGGGAAAAAACAGACCAAGGATGGATGCTCCTGCTCCTCTTTTGAAATATTAGAAAATAAATGATTCTCTAATTCAAAAAAAAACCTTAAAAATGGACGTCGAAGAGGCGCTACCACTGTCTTGCTTGCCACTTGTATTCGCCGTCTTGGTAGAGCCCGCACCTCCAGCAGGGCCGACGTCACGGGTAGGGGCAAGAGTTAGAGGCGCCTGAATAGCTACTTCTTACTCTACTTAACCTTCTTTCTCTACTTAACACCCAAGATCACCATCTATTCATTGATTGCGAGCCTGAATCTCTATCTTCTCATTCTGTATCTATTCCTTGATCTTTTCCTCGCGAGCCTCATTCTAGTGCTTAGGGGGTCTTCTGATAACTTGACTCTCCATCACTTCTCATTCTAGTGCCTAGGGGGTCTGTTCTCCTCAATTCTGTTACCTTGACTTCTACACCAAATAATAATCCTCTAACTGGTTCCCCAGAGTCTTTCTAGAGCCATGGTTCTCTAATCCTATGCTACTTCCAGAGAGCTACTTAGGCCTTAACAGAGGAGAACGCCTCGGCCAATTCCATCGGTTCAACGGTGTCGAAGCAAGGCCTCTCAGGCTGCGAACGGGAACCCCAGTAGCATTGCCAAGACAGGGGAGTAAAAACAGCAGGGTTACAACGTGGAGAAACAGGCCACGAA